TTTAAAAATACTTAAAAATAACAATGACTTATAAAATTAAGACTGTGTACTAAAAAGCATGAATGCTACATATATATAAATTATATGTTTGATATAAAGATAGTGAACAATAATAAATTTAATCAACATTTTCATGCTAGAAATGTAACTGATTATAGAATTATTTGTATCTATTTATAGCTAAGAATAATGTAATATATTCAAGAAAACAAATAAATAAATAAGTATTGAAAGTGCCAAAGTTTCACGTATATTTATAATCTGTACGAAATTCCCAATAATTATAATTAAGCGTGATTATTAACAAGAAATTACGTGGCAATCATTTGTAATAACCATACTAATCATAATTAGTGTTATTTATGGGTAAATTTGAACGGACCTGGTTACTAATAGTGCTCGGCTCGTGATCGTTGCATCATTCTTGTTAGTTGCCGTTTTGTGAAGTTTTTGAAGTACATCTATATATAAATAGAAATAATCTTTATTCAAATAAACTCATTACAAGCACTTTTGAATAGTCATATTTTCATTCTACCACTCATTCGGAATGCAGATTCATCACAAGAAGAATGAGCAAGAAACTTGTGTGTTGCTCTTTTTAATAGATGTTTTTTATATAAATAATTACAGTGTAACAAGTAAGAGGCATGCGGCAATCAACATAGAAATCGCTACGCACTCATTATTAGTGTAATCAGATAATATTGTCAGTGCTATGTATTTAAAATAAATAAAATTGGAGCATCTGTTTGTAATATCGAAATAACCGTTTTTTACTACATGCATATGAATATAAATACGGTACATAACACAATAAAAACATTTTTAAAAATTTTTGTTTGTCTCACTGTCTGTCTGTTCCTGCTAATCTCTGATATGGCTGGACCGATTTTGACGGGACTTTTATTGGCAGGTAGTTAATGTAATAAGGAGCAACTTAGGCTACTTTTATTTTAGAAAAATGAATTTAAATTCCACGCGGACGAAGTCGCGTGTACAGCTAGTTTTATATATATTTTTGTAGTAACTATTTTCTTAGAGTTCTTAGTATCATTTTTTATTTTCCTTAAAATACAGCCTTTACATTAATAGTAAAATGCTTCTGTATAGTTGAGTTTTAATATTTTTAATGATATACTTTTTAATTTGTTGAGTTTTCTCAGGGTTCGTAGTATCCTTTTTTTTATTTGTCTCAAATATAGTCTTTTACACTAATATTGAAAGTCTTCTGTATAGTTGAGTTTTATTATTTTTAATGATATACTTTTTAATTTCAAATAGTTCAAAACTTTTTTGTGGTAGGTATCTGTTTTCTCAGGGTTCCTAGTAGCCTTTTTTATTTGCCTCAAATATAGTTTTTACATTAATATTGAAAGTCTTATTATGTATAGTTGTATTTTATTATTTTCAAAGACATTCTTCATAAATTTTAGACTATAAATATATAACGAAGTCGTATCTGTGGGTTCGCTTATTAATTATTTATTCTTATTCGCATATTCTTTTAACTTACGCAACGGATTTTAAATGCAATTTAGCAATAGATATTGTAATTCAAGACGAAGCATTATATATAATACATGCATGTTATAGTATAGAATGAGTCGGAAAATTCAAAGATTTGTAATTTGTAATGCATACATATATATCCATTTTTGCCCATAACCAGTAAAAATTAATGAAAATAGTTAGATGTTTTAATAGACGTCTTTTATTGCAGAGCGCAGTGATAGAAGTATTATAAAATAAAAAATATATAAAGAACATCATATTTTGAATATGGATAAAAAGAATACACAAACTGCCAGTGACTCTCATTGTAGGTCTAACACATCTGTGTGAATCCAGGAATATTAATTATTAGTAACTTATGTAATATAAATTATTTACTGAAAAATTAATTACTAACTAAGAAGAAATTTAATTTAATTATTGTAGTAGAAAAAAATCATTTCATAATTATCATATATATTCCTTGTTATTTTTATCATTATTCTTACTTATTCCACTTTGTTTTCCACCCACCATTTCATACGTATTTTTTACTTAGGGTAACAAAATAAATTGCTTTCAGCAATAAGGCTGTCTTATTGTATTTATACACACATGTTTCATTTACTTATTAATTGTACCTATCTATTGAAATCTCTCTATTTCTCTTCACGTAAATTCTTCCCTATTTTGCATTCCAAACGCCATTTTGTACATCTACTTTCTGCATTGTAGTAAATTTTGAATTGATCACTTAAAATAAAATAAGTACCTTTGTTTAGTATTTATAAAATATTCGATTATTATTATTAATTAGTTTAGAACTTTGATTATAAAATTTTGCATTTAGTAGCTGAAACGTTTAATAATAAATAGGAGATATAACCAAGCCACTTAAAATAAAATAGGTACCTTTCTTTAGTACGTATAAAATATTCGATTATTAATATAAATTAGTTTAGAACTTTGATTATAAAATTTAGCTTTTAGTAGCTGAAACATTTAATAATAAATAGGAGATATAACCAAACTTAAAATAAAATAGGTACCTTTCTTTAGTACGTATAAAATATTCGATTATTAATATAAATTAGTTTAGAACTTTGATTATAAAATTTAGATTTTAGTAGCTGAAACATTTAATAATAAATAGGAGATATAACCAAGCCACTTAAAATAAAATAGGTACCTTTCTTTAGTATTTATAAAATATTCCATTATTAATATAAATTAGTTTAGAACTTTGATTATAAAATTTAGCTTTTAGTAGCTGAAACATTTAATAATAAATAGGAGATATAACCAAGCCACTTAAAATAAAATAGGTACCTTTCTTTAGTATTTATAAAATATTCCATTATTAATATAAATTAGTTTAGAACTTTGATTATAAAATTTAGCTTTTAGTAGCTGAAACATTTAATAATAAATAGGAGATATAACCAAGCCACTTAAAATAAAATAGGTACCTTTCTTTAGTATTTATAAAATATTCCATTATTAATATAAATTAGTTTAGAACTTTGATTATAAAATTTAGCTTTTAGTAGCTGAAACATTTAATAATAAATAGGAGATATAACCAAGCCACTTAAAATAAAATATGTACCTTTCTTTAGTATTTATAAAATATTCCATTATTAATATAAATTAGTTTAGAACTTTGATTATAAAATTTAGCTTTTAGTAGCTGAAACATTTAATAATAAATAGGAGATATAACCAAGCCACTTAAAATAAAATATGTACCTTTCTTTAGTATTTATAAAATATTCCATTATTAATATAAATTAGTTTAGAACTTTGATTATAAAATTTAGCTTTTAGTAGCTGAAACATTTAATAATAAATAGGAGATATAACCAAGCCACTTAAAATAAAATATGTACCTTTCTTTAGTACGTATAAAATATTCGATTATTAATATAAATTAGTTTAGAACTATGATTATAAAATTTAGCTTTTAGTAGCTGAAACATTTAATAATAAATAGGAGATATAACCAAGCCACTTAAAATAAAATAAGTACCTTTGTTTAATATTTATAAAATATTCGATTATTAATATAAATTAGTTTAGAACTTTGATTATAAAATTTTGCTTTTAGTAGCTGAAACATTTAATAATAAATAGGAGATATAACCAAGCCACTTAAAATAAAATAGGTACCTTTCTTTAGTATTTATAAAATATTCCATTATTAATATAAATTAGTTTAGAACTTTGATTATAAAATTTAGCTTTTAGTAGCTGAAACATTTAATAATAAATAGGAGATATAACCAAGCCACTTAAAATAAAATAGGTACCTTTCTTTAGTATTTATAAAATATTCCATTATTAATATAAATTAGTTTAGAACTTTGATTATAAAATTTAGCTTTTAGTAGCTGAAACATTTAATAATAAATAGGAGATATAACCAAACCACTTAAAATAAAATAGGTACCTTTGTTTAGTACGTATAAAATATTCGATTATTATTATTAATTAGTTTAGAACTTTGATTATAAAATTTTGCATTTAGTAGCTGAAACGTTTAATAATAAATAGGAGATATAACCAAGCGGGCAGCACCGCCATAATTATAATTAACTGGTATACTCGAACATCGTCGAAAACTCATAAAATATTTCTAGTTCAATCAGAAATGTGTTTAACAATTACTAACCAATTTTCAGTCTTATGTGTAGGTTCGAAAGTGAATAGTTGTCTATAATTGTATTGCATTTATAACGTTTATATAAAAATTTTAATTTGTTTATATTACAACTAAACTATATCTATTAATTTACACATAAACTAAATTATAGTTAAGTTAATTATACATCTGGGAAATTGTTAATGCAATTGGTTTATCATGGGTATTATACAAGAGTAGTTATTTCTAAATTTCAAGTTTTATCAGATTTGTAATAGAAAAATTAATAATGAGTTATTAAACATTCATGTCAATATAAGAAACTATATTTTAATTATTTTAGATGCATTAGTGTCGTGGTATCTATAATGTTAACGTATTGTAACTGACAATAAATATATTTTTATTTACTAAGTAATAAATTAATATGTAACATTTTTAATAAACATATCTCCTTTTTTATTGACAGTCAATACTATTCTGTTTTTAATTTTAGAAAGAAGTGAATTTTATTTAGTTTGTTAACTTAAATGTACTTTAATAAGATGTTAAATTTATTTTAGTTTTAATTCAAAAACTTTAGTAAATTGTGAAATTTATTTAAAATAGTTTGTTAATGTATTTTTAACTTTTGTAAGAAGTGAAATCTATTTTCATTATAAATTTAAATGCTTTAAATAGTGAAAATTATTTAGTATGCTAATTTAAATTTAACTTGGAAGTTTAACGTCGTGATTAAAGTTGTTATCTCAAAATGAGTATCGATTGTGAAAGATGCTGTACCAAAGAGGATGTCAAATGTTATTGGTGTATCTTCCATTTAGATTACTTTATCTATGCCATAATCGTTATAGTGTTTGTTGCTTTATTCCTGTATTTCATGCTTGAGAGGTAAGTGCCAAGGGAATAGTACTTTTTTTTAAATTTCTGCTTAACCTTTTTTGTTGGGGTGTTTGGGGTATTGTCAGGTGCTTGTCATTTTTTTATTTTTAATAATATGTTGCTCACACTTTTTTTATTGGGGAGACTATTGTCAGGTGCTTAGAGCTGTAGCACTGCGACCTAGATAGACCTATTGTGCTCGCCCTTTTCAAAGTTGGCTACCTTGACCCGTCAGGGACAAGAATTGAAGGATATTCTTAAGAACTTCTTAGATCAATATTTCCTTTTATCTTAAATTAAATTCTGTACATCGTAATTAATATTATAAAGCCAGAAGTAAGTTATGGTACACTTTGCGTGTGGAAATATGTTTTGTTACAGTTTTGGTATTTTTACATAATATAAAATGCAGTCGCTTTCGCTGTCTGTTCGCTTATATCTTTTAAACAACGCAACGGATTTTATTGCAGTTTTGAGCAATAGTTAGAGTTATTCAAGAGTTAATTTTATATGTATAGTACATGTATATCGGTGCGAAGCCGGAGTATATCTTACTAATATTATAAATGCGAAAGTTTGTATGTATGGATGGATGTTTATTACTCTTTCACGCAGTAACTACTGAAGAAAGAAAGAAGGAAAGAAAGAAAAAACATTTTGGTTTAAACGGATTTTGTTGAAACTTTACAGTGATATAGCTTATACATCAGAATAACAAATGAGCTATAAATTTCACGCGACGAAATAATTATTTAGTAATTATAAAATAGCATAGAAAAGTCTCTACTTAAACTTCTGGTATCTAGTATTAATACCCCCCCCCCCCTCCCTCTCTCGTATCAATACATGTTTAATATTTTTTATTATATTATAATAACTAATCCCACCTACGATAGCCGGAGCTGATGTCACACGCAGGAAAACTAAATTTGTTGTTAATCACATGATAATCTGTGTGTAAACAAGCTACCGTTGGCCTTGTCTGACGCATTGTGTACATAGCATTGCGTCCCGTTCTCGCATCTCGAGAGTAGCGTAATACTTTATTATTATTACCATATAGAGATAATCCACAGTTTTGTCTACATACTTAAGGTTTTTTAAGTAACTAACATAAGACTTTATGACGTCAAGTAACACGACTACGTCATATCCTATCGTATCATTTAGTTATGTAATAAATTTTATTCAAATCACTAAGTAACAATAATACTAAAATTTGTTTTATGATATGATTTAGTTCTGTCACAAATTTAATTTAAATAATTTTACACACTTAATATAATTCTAAAATGTGGAATACTTTGTATTTAAAATTAATACAGTTTTTCGTTCATAATTTAAACACATACGAAACTAAATGTTTTTACTTTCTGTCCTTCTTCGTTTTCAAGTATATGTAATATAGTGATACACTTGAATACGAAGAAATTACGAAGGACAGAAACGAAAAACAGTTAGTCTTGTGTAAAAGTTACTTTAAAAATAAATAATAATTTAGTGAAACAGAATAAAGTAAATCACCACAAAACTCAACTGTACCGCTTTCACTAGGGTTTTATAAGAGAGAGCAGCCTCTAAGAGACACAAGGTTGCCATAAAAAATATATAGTTTTGGAAAATTCAAGCACAAAAAGAACACATTAATTATTAATTATATATTTTATTACTGATTTCTCTTTCTAATTATATGTTTTGTTATTTAAATTTTTGTATTAACCATCTAAGTTCTATAATTTTTGAATTCCTGCAATTATAATTCAAATAACAATATATTAAGAATTCCTTAATATTTAAAGTAAAAGATGCTCTATTAACAATTTATTTCTTATCGAAATTTCACATTTTTGACGGAAAATTATTTGAGTAAAATCAGAATTTTCCATGATTTTATTCTTAAAGCAGAAAATTCGATGCTTCGTATCATATCAGGTTGGTTTTGCATCATACTTTTAAGTGTTTAAAATTGGACGTCAAACTAACTTTTTCACTAAGTATTTATATCAGTTGTATAGTATCCATAACATAAGCTCTGCTTGCCGTAGACGATATAAAACAAATAAATAGGTACTTCTTGTCGGTGACACGAACTATCACAACAAGATTGATGTTACGTGGCGTAATTTATTGCTTATTGTATTCAACTCGTGTCTACTCGTACATAGATAGGTACTATACAGTTTATCATTGTACATAATAAATCATCTTATATTATAAACGCGAAAGTTTGTGACTATAGATGGTTGCTTGTTACTCTTTCACGCAAAAACTACTGAACTGATTTTGATCTAATTATACATATATAACTTATACATCAGTATAACTAAAATAATAATTCAAAACGACTCTCATGTATTATAGGTTTCTTTATTTTATATAATTAGAAATGTAAACATACTGTCGGATTACTTAATGGCAAATGTAACGTTATTCAAATCAAATCAAATCAAAATATCTTTATTCATGTAGGTCTGTTACAGACTCTTACGATATGTCAAATCTACCGTCAGTTCGGCGTGATTTCGAGATGTGAAGAACTGACAAGAAACTGAGCTCTTATTATTATCAAATGAGATTGGATAGGTTTACAAAAATATAGATTCCTTTTTAAGGAGAACATAGTGACACTATGTTACTGCTTTTTCGTCAAAATTAAACAATTTAATCAATAGCAGTAGTAGTCATCTTATGCGTTATCATTCTGGGATGTCATGCCTCTTATTCTTTCAAACAAAACACATATAAAGTAAGCTATTTGGCAGATAAATGGTTGTACTCCACACTAATGACTTTTTACAAAGTACACCTTGGTAACGAGGCATGTCTCTAATGTGGTTGCATAAAAAGATGTACTATTCAATAGGGTTTTAAATCAATTTTAATATAGACATGATTAAGTCTTACTTTTTTTTAATTACAAAAAAAATATTGTTATTAAAATCTATTAAATTTTCAAAGCAATAGATGATACTTTGCTTAGAAAACATAATAACATAAGCCAGTAGTACAATGCCATATCACCACACCATCGGTGAATCACACAATAGCAAATATGGACAGTACTAATAACTAAGACGATAGGCACTCATAATAATATGCAATATGTCAGCGAACATCGAATAAGGAACAGCCATTTACGATTTAGTTGTACGTAAACACTGGTGTGAATATGTTGTATTTCTTATTCACAGGTAGCTGAATAGACTATTATGGATGGCAGCAATAAACAACCCAATAACTATGTGGCTAAAGGACTCAATTCGCCTGAATTAAGAATGAACAAAAATATACCATTTGTGGATGAAGTAGTAGAACTCGATAATGTTAGAATATCCAACAGTAAAGATGTGGATACAAGACGTCCTTCATCAGAAACAAAAATAAATGAAGATATACCATTTGTGGATGAGGCTACTGAACCTAATCATGTTAAAGTAGATGAACCTATTCGGCCGAAACGATACAGAGATGTTGAAAAAGGAGAAGCTAATTATAAACCAAATGGCAATATTGTGATACACGCTTCCGATCTGGGATCTGTCCATTCATCGCCGAATAGTGACACCATTGTAGTTAACACTCCTGAAGGGACTTTATATGTAACATTAGACCCTTATTCATCTAAATCCACTAAACCAAATAGCCCGAGCACGCAATCGACAGAGATCTCCGATGCATCTCCAAGTACGTCAAAAGCGTTTGGTGCAGAAGAATCGGACGCCTTGCTTGATGAGGAAAGAGACGACACGGAGATCAGGAGAATGAATTTGAGGCGGAACTCAATATCGATGCCTACGCTTCAGAATCTTGAATCCGAAGTTCTTCGTCAGCAATACTTGAACAATCCACAAGATGAGGTATTTATGCAACTTTTAATTCCGTTCTTTTTTCACAACATCATAATTACTACAATAGGTATTTATTAGATTTTTATTTAACTGCCGACAAAAAATATTTAACCTTGGGTATGTTTGTTTATATCGAGTAAATCACATAATTTATAGTAATAATTGCAGGAATGTCACGCGCTATTACATAAAGTTGTTATAAAATTTACGTTGCATATTCTTTTCGTCAGAATGAAAGCTAGCTTAGCAAGTACACTTGTTTGCAAAGTAATAAACTTAAGCACTATATATCTTTATCTACGCTGATATACCAGTAATCATTACTTGTATCTGTTAACCTTACCCTAATTAAGAGCAGCGTGCAACGCTGATAAACAGTTACCGTCTATTAGATAATCTTATGCCAAATAGAGTTGGGCGGCTGATATCATGCGTAAAGTTGATAAGACAAAGAAAAGACTATGCTATCGATACGTCACATGACTTTTATCAAAACAAACGATATGATCATTTGATAAAGCCCCGGAAAAATATCTTCAGTCTTGATATAATTATTTTGCAGTGAACGCGAAAAAATATATTTTGCAATTAATAAAATATCGCAATGTAGAATTCACGCCTAGAAACTAACTCCGAAAATATTAGTTTATAATAAATTTCTTTGAGATAAATGCTTATCAGCATTTTCCAAACAGTGGCCAAAAATAATATTTGATCATTTAAATCTTAGTACTTAAATAGCAAATAACACGGGAATGTGATAATAATGATTCAGTGAATTGTGTACATAATATACTTTTTTAATGCGATTGTTACTCTTATACTTTGTATATAGTTAAAGATAAAATATCTAACATATATTCTAATAAGAAATACAATCTTTAAAGACCTAAAATGAGAATCAGAAAGAAACCAGATCTTCGGGTAAATATACCGTCTTATCCGCACGATTATGTGGCTATGCCACCGGATACGAGGCGACTGATTCTAGAAGCCAATCGAACACCAAACGATTTAGAGTACATTGATGAGGAAGGTGGTCTTCCCCGACCGACTTTTAAAATCGGTTCTCCAGATGTGCGTTCACCAACACCAGAAGTTAGATTCGCAGATCCTGAAGTAGAGCCAGAACCGAATATTGATAATAAATTGAATAATGATGTTAAACACGTGTCTATTGAAGGGGATGATACAGTAGAATATCGAAAATTGGGAAAGAAATCAGTTACAGTACCAGATACACTTAGAGACTTTCAAGCTATAAGAGCAGATTATATTGGAAAGAAGAATGTAAGTTGATTCCTAAGATTCACATATTATAAATATATTTAATTATTTTTGGTAATGAGCTTAGTTCATAAATGTGCATATTTTTTTAAAGTATAGAAATATACCTGATCTATTTAAATATATTTTGAACTTTCTATCAAATAATCTTATATTTACTGTAAGGACCTTAATACTTTTTTAGTTGCGAGTTTAATAAGCAAATATTTTCGATCTATGAATCAATATGTAACCTAGGTTGACCTAATCATATATATAACCTATATCCATATTAATAATAATAATTTTAATTCACATTTTACATTGTTCTCTGGTATCTAAACTAAAATATAGATTTTAGGTACCAGTTCCCTCTTACAATTTACAATCATTGTAATTACAATTCACCGAAAACATGACAAAAACAGAATCAAAATAGGTATTAACTTAAGATTAACCCACCATCACATGTGACAAAGTTCTTCTGAGATCTATTTATACTTGGTTCTCAAGTCCAGAGAATAACATCAAAATATATAATAATAGTAACAACTGCATGGTGATACTGAAATCGTACCAACATCTCGCGCTACGTATAAATTGACCAACGACATCCTCTTAGGAGGATCAACACGAGCCGTACCGTTTATTTTTTCTCATCAAATAAACTAATCCTCGAATAAATGATTTTAATTTTTAGTCTACGCTAATATTTACTTCCTGTTATCATTTCTTACGGTATGCCCGGGCAAACTTTGTACAACGCCATTTGCGTAGGTTAGCTCACGTAATTATACCGGAAAATATTTTACTTAGTAGATTTATATTATTTTGTTTAATTCCTCTACAATTAGCATGACCATAAATAATCAGTGCGGAAACTTGACTACCATTACGACCGTCTCTAATGGTGATCAAATTCCGACCGTTATTGAGCTACACCCATATTGTGACACGTGTTTCGCCTCTGAACGAGGCATCATCAGGCATTGAATAGAGTTCAGATATAACTTGGAAGCCTAGTGTTGATTGTTCAGCAACAAACCATGGTCGCCGAACGGTTTAAACTGTTAGCGTAAACTTAGGTCTAATTAAGGCATCTTGACGAATTCAGTTCGATAGTTTCAAAGGGGCATTGTATGAATGGTCTAATATGAATGGAAATCTGAATATATGTAATTTACAATCGTTGATGATTACCCATTCTAACAATCTTCAAAAACTTATTATTTGGATGAAATATGATAGTATGATCTAATATAGTACAATCGTTGAATCCCCATTTAATGTAATTTGAATTCTATTATCCTCTATTAGCTAACGATTACCCATTGTAACAATCTTCAAAAACCCCTTATTATTTGGATGAAATATGATAGTATGAATAACATCTTCGTCAATGAGAATATTTGTGTTGTATGTACAGGGGATGGGTATTAGTTATTTATTAACTTATAAATCGACTAATTGTTTACTACTTTAAATAATAATATTATATAATAATAATAATCTCAGCATAATTCACACAGCGTCATTTAGACCCAAGTTAAGCTAGCTAAATCGTGTTATAGGTACTAGAAACTGATATACATACATAGATATTTTGTAAATGCATACATAATATACATAGGAAACACCCAGACCGATACAACAATCATACTCATGAATACAAATGTTTGTGCCGTGATCGAATCGAATCGTAATCGAACCCGCGACCATTGGTTGTAAAGAGGTGTACTAGACCGCTAGACCCCCGAGGCCGTCAAAATAATAATAATATAATAAAGCCCTTTATTTCGCTAATTAAATTTTAACTATGAAATATCTTTTTAATCATAATAGATATATCTTTTATTTCAGTGTGCCTTTTGGCATACGTCTCCTCCAGTGACTTCCATTAATTTCCATCCTGTGCAACTCTTCTCCATTATGTGCCCACAGTTCACTACAAATCATCTTTCCATTTCGTCATTTGTCTCCCTCTCTTTCTCTTTCCGTCTCTAGGATACCACTCTGTTATTTTTCTACTCCATTCTTCCCTTGTATCACGCATCATGTAGTCAGCTCATCACCACTTTTGCTTGTCTGTTTACTAGTTTAGTCGATTAGTTAAAACCCGATTTACTTCGTCTCATACACTTGTTTGTAAACACTTTTCTAATCCGTGTCAGCGCCATTTTATTACAGCGACTTTATCTAATAACTTCTAAAGGTTATCTGAAATAGATTGTCCATATGCGATATGAAAGTGTTATATATTTATTCAATTAACAAAAATTCTTCCTTATAGATTTTGTGTGTGTGTGTTGTAATGATACATAGTCATACACAAACTCTCTTTCGCGGACATCCAGTGTTATAAGTTATGAGGTGTAACAATAGCTTCTTCTTTTTAGATTTTTTTTAATTCCACGCGTACTAAGTAACAACATGTAATATATGTAATATAATATTATATGTATAATAATTATACATTATTACCTCTCAAAAATAATATTAACAAAAAATGAGGTAAGCAGATGAATGTTACTGTAGTACTAATAACAGCTAATATTATACAATTTAGTAGATTATAAAGATTCCTTTTTATGAATTATTAAAAATATGGTCGAGCGCAGTGATGGCTGGCTCATCCAGGTATCCATGCTTGCAGGGACTCTGCTCTTATCACTACGACTGATTTAATCTTATTATATATTTATATTTGACCCAAAAAATAGTTGGTTGGTAGTTTGTATTGACACGTTGTAAATGTGAACTTACAAGGATTATTTAAAAGAGCAACACACAAGTTTCTTGCTCGTTCTTCTTGTGATGAGACAGCTTTCCGAATGAACGGTAGATAAAAAAAATTGTTATGACTATTCAAAAGTACTTAAATTAGGCTTATTTGAATAAATGATTTTCTATTCTATTATTTCTATAAAATGCGTTGAAAATACACTAGCTATTAATTGTTTTAATCTCTGTGAAATTGTTTTAATTGTAAAAAATTGATTAGAAAACCTAATCTATACATCTATACATATACATAAAGTTTGTGTGTCTGTTTGTAATATTAAAATAACCGTTCTTTACTACATGCATATGAATATAAATACGAACATACACCAAAATAACAATTTTTGTCTGTCTGTCTGTCTGTCTGTTTGTTCCGGCTAATCTCTGAAATAGCTTGACCGATTTTGACAGAACTTTTGGCAGGTAGCTGATGTAATAAGGAGTAACTTAGGCTACTTTTATTTTAGAAAAATTCTTTGATTTTAGATAAGTAAAGTTAAATTCCACGCGTACGAAGTCGCAGCCACAGCTAGTCTTAACTAAAATTAGATCTGGGATCATGTAGTTTGACGAGTGGTGGTTATCATAGCAATTGCAAAGGTAATGAGTGATTATAATAAGTTGATGAGTCATCATAATAAGGTGATGAGTGGTCACAATAAGGTGATGAGTGAACATAATAATGTGATAAGTGATCACCATAAGGTGATGAGTAAGCATCATAAGATTATGAGTGATTATCATAAGGTGATGAGTAATCACCTTTGCAGTTGTTCTATGGCCCTACACAAATATTTCTATTCATGTCTATTTATGATTTAAAGTATATAAAGCAAAGTAAATGTCCTGTATGTAGTAATATTGATTACTCTAGGTGTGTACCTATAATAGTTGTTTACTTTTGTATGTATGTTGTATGTGTTCTATAATTATCGAATACGCTCAATACCCTACCAATTATC